GATAGCTATTCAGCACATATGCTATCTTCTAAGGTTACCACAGAACAAAATAGATTTAATTGAAACAGATGCATTCTGAGGCATATTTTAACATTCAAAACTCAAAGGTACCAAAACAAAAAACATATCAGTATGGATTGATTGCTTCAAGGGTATTTATTAATACTTCTGTCAGTTCTCAAGAAACATATCCCGATTACATGTCTATCCAAATAGAAATGTAATTAAATATCTTTAATAAGATAATATGTGATATGGCTGATACAGTTACGAACAATGTGTCAGAGAAATATTATCTTCAGAGGTATTCTTCTGATTACTCTTTCAACAAGGTAAAAGAGGCAGTACCCATGGAAAAGACAGGAAGTAATGTGTGCAGAAAACAACTGCACCGGCCAGGCTGAATGATAATCTTGTAAAATGCCTTACGCCCAGGATCAATGTCAAATTTTTCAGCCCCAAAGGATAATTCCTGGGCTTGCATTTTGTAAAGGCTCAGAGTTTATAAAGTGATATTGCTTACTTGCAGGGGGGCTGAGGCACAGGTAAATAAGTACATCAGCTCCCAGGCACAGAGCCAATCAGATGTCCCTAGCCCCACGTAAGCCAAAGTCAGACCTAAGACAAAGAGCTTCTGGAGGCCATTAAGTACAAAGTGGACATTTCTGCAGACAGGATGAGAAAGAGTCTGCTGAAGGGGTAGGCTAAGGCAAATAACATCCCCCCCCCCAGCACACTGAAGACACTCTCTTAGGCTCTTGTCCATTTCACACTCATCAGAGATGGAAGGTATCTTGACTCCAGAAAATAGCCTGGACATCACTGGGGGGAACCCCTATACCCTGGACCAAAGTAATGGATGATTTCGACATATCTGTAAGGATACGTAAGAGACCGGAATTAGAGGATTTGGGTTCGTCACATTTTCTTTTATCTTTTCCTAATCTGTTGTGTATGATGTGTTACTCACGTTAAGCCTCTGTTCAGTCCACATGTACTAGCAGCGGGGGGGGGGGGCAGTGGTTAAACCCAGCTAAGTGTGTTGGTCCTCTCAATGGTGAGTGCAAAAGTAGAGAGAGATGTAAACATGGTGCTAAGTGGCCAAATGGCACAGGGGCCTGAGAACAATGCTCAGGTGGTAAAAACTCCTAGTAACTGATTTGATGGTGGCAGGGGAGGGAGAGGGAGAGAAAGGAGGGGAGTTTGGAAGTGGAGTAAAGTGAGCCTGGCTGGGCTAAAGACCCAGGATGGTCGAATCATTTTTTTTCCACTCCAGTACTAGGCAGAAATGAGTGCTTGTGAGCCCTGTTTTCCCACACAGTACATGGATGGAATTCATGGATTTTTGATGGCCAAGTAAAACCTCCATATTCAGAGACAGTGAACCTGTGAACACTAGTCACTTGGACACAACAGAATGGGAAGATGGTCGTTTATCAGAACCATTTATTTAGTCGCTGAAGGCAACAAGATGCTGGATTAGACAGACTGGGTCTCATCCAGTAGGAAGCTTCTTATGTTTTTGCATTCTTACTGTACTGAAGAGTGAAGGCAGTTTATACATATTCTTCATGATAACAGGGTAGATATAAATTCAAATTTATTTTACAGTTGTCATGCTTATTATACCTGACCTAGATAGCCCAGGATAGCCCAATCTCGTGATATCTCAGAAGCCAAGCAGGGGCAGCCCTGGACAGTATTTGGGAGACCACCAAGGAATACCAGGTTCATGATGCAGAGGCAGGTGATGGCAAACCACCTCTGAATGTCTCTTGCCTTGAGAACCCCACAGGGTTGCCATACGTCGACTGTGACTTGACAGCACTTTCCAACACCACCTTGTTTATTATATGTAAAATACAGTTTTTAAAATTGGTTAAAACCGCCCACATTGCAACCCCCCCCAAAACCCAAACCTACCCCCAAAACAAAACAACAACCTGCTCCTTAAAGGATGAGGTTCTGCAACTAAAATAAGCTTTGCATGTTTTCCCTGTAAGCTTCTATAGAAACATGCTGGCACATATGTTGATGCAGGCTAGACTATTCATGGACGAGCAGTCTACCACCGACTCAGTGCTGCTCATGCAGGTGCTTGTCCCCCGCTTATATACTTCCATCAGCAAGGCCACTGATGTGGGGGCTGGGGGGACAAAATTCAGTGGGGGGACCAAGTCAGTGAGAGGGCCCTTGAAGCCAGTGTCATGTGGCATCCAGCAGAATGTCTTTCCATTTATTTGCAAAATGTAGTTCTAGCTGCAGCCACTAGGGGCACAGGGAAGCCTGAGCACAGTAAAAGGCACTCTACTATCGGCTAGACTTCTCTTTCTCCAAGACTAAAGCAAATGTACCTAACAGATCATGCTAACATGATCATCAACTAAGCCAGCACTGGTGCAAGACAAGACAACATGCTGATGGCTGCTACAGTAATTGTCAGTCTGTAATCTGCTAACAACTTAGCCTTTGTCTCTTTCCTTTCACCCAGTTCAGCTAGATCTTGCAAAGCATTAGGGTGCTGCAGCAATATAAAACAACCTTTTCCTTAATTTCTCCCCCTCTTTTGCACAATTTTCTCATTCAGTTTCTCTCTCCCTCCACATAATTTTTTCTGTCCTACCCTCCCGTTTATTTTCAAGTCTTGGTCTCAAGTCCTTCTCATCCCTATGCTGTTTAGAGTAGTACAATAGCAAACCTTTGTTAATACCAGGGGTCATTTCGTAGAAAAAGAGCTAGGGGAACTCATTAGCATAACTCATTAGCATATGCCACACCCCCTGACATCAGGGGCCCGGCGGTGGACCTTCAAGGCCAGCGGGAGTGCGAGGAAGCCCTGCCAAGGCCCTCTCTGGCCCCAGGCAGGCAGGGGTGGGGAGAGGTGGGGAGGAAGCAACTTACCCTCCCTCTTCTCCTGCCTCCTCCTGGCCGAATGAGGGCTGGAAGCGGGGCGGCCAGAAGCAGGGGGCAGGGCTTCGTCATGTGCCCCGCCCCCTGCACCTCACCAGGGGGAACTGTGTTCCCCCGCGTTCCCCCCCGAAATGACCTCTGGTAATATTATGAATGCGGGGGGTGGAGTTAGAGTGGCTGGAGATCCCCTGGGATTAAAACTGATCTCCAGGCGACAGAGATCAGGTCACCTGGAAAAAAATGGCTGCTTTGGAAGGTGCACTCTATGGCATTATACCCCACTGGAGTCCCTCCCCCCCAAACCTTGCCCTTCTCAGCCTCCCCCCCCCCAAACTCCAGGTATTTCCCAACACAGAGACGGCAACCCTAGTGGGCACTAATACTTCCCCATGATCTAACCAAGTAGTAAAAGGACGCTTCCACCCTCCTCTGCCCCTTACATGCATGGTAATGGAATATTAATTTGTTTTAGTGGTTATACATGTGGAACACAAGTTAGAACTCCCAGTTCAGGCACTGGGTCATTATCAATATTATTGTGTTGGTGGAAGATCTAATAGCCCTCTGTAAAGGCTATTTTGCTATATAACGTCATCTTTTTAACGTCATCATTAGATTTAGATTTATAACAAACTAGCAGTAAAGCCCGTTGTGAAAGCAATACAACGGGATCTAGAAAGAGGCTCTGGGGCAGTGCTCTGGCTTTGGGCAAACAGTGTCAATTTGCTGTGGTGACCTCAGCAGGGTATAATGACAGAGTCCACTGTTTTCTCCAGAGGAACTGATCTCTGCTACCTGAAGAGCAGTTGTAATTGTGAGTAATCTGTAGCCCTCACCTGGAGATTGGCAACAATTGTTACCCAGGACAAAATGGCTGGTTTGGAGGGTGGAGTCTATGGCATTCTACCTGTCTGAGGTCCCACCCCTCTGCAAACCCCACCCTCTCCAGGCTCCACCCCTCAAATCCCCAGGAATTTGTCAGCATGTAGTTGGCAACCCCATCTCCTTCCCAGCTAGCCACCAACCTACCATTATCTGCCCCTTTGACTTCAGCTGACTTCTGCCCTCCCTTCTGCAGAGCAGTTGTAATACTGAGTGCTCTCCAGCCCTCACCTGGAGATTGGCAACAATGGTTCCCTATGTGGGACTGACTGGTTTGGAGGGTGGAGTCTATGGCAGTGTACCTGTCTGAGGTCCCACCCCTCCTCAAACCTCACCCTCTTCAGGCTCCATCCCTCAAGTCTCCAGGAATTTCCCATCTGGAGTTGGCAACCCTATCAGGACTGGCCCCAATGTGTTTTCTCCCAAAGGCCAAAGTAGGTGACAGGACCAAGCTTAGTTGCCTACCAACAGGCACTGAGGGGAATGTAGGGTTGCCAGCTCTAAGGAGGGAAATACCTGGAGGTTTGGGGGGTGGATTCTGTAGAGGGCCGGGCGACGGAGGCATCGGCCTTCTGTCGCCCGCCTTGCCCCCCCAATCTTGGCCCGGGCG